TGGTAAGGAAAGAGAGAAATATTTTAATAGGAACGGTTGGAGTGTTGTGGCGGTGAAAGCCTTGAGAAGGGAGGGGAGAAATTTAGGTAAAGAAATGTGGAAGAGGGATGAGGATGTACAGAGGCAGTTAGAGGAAAACAGGATTTTAGATGCAAGGTATAACAAGAAATATAAGGAGCTAAGTATAGATTTGGAAGGCCCAAGTTATTTAAAGTTGGATAATTTAGACAGGCAGGGTGTCGGGGATAGTATCAGAGCGTTGTTAAATTTAAGATGCGGGAACTTAGAATCAGGTAACAGGTATTGGCTAGATGAAGAGAAACAAATGTGTATTTTTTGTAATGAAGGCAAGGATAATATGAACCACTGTGTTGAAGATTGCGTTAAGACAAAGGAATGGTTTACAGTATTAGGAAAGGATGGTAAAGAAAGGTTGGAAAAACTTTGGAATGATAAATTGGACACCACCAAAGCGGAGGTATTGTTGAAAGTTGTTAGGGAAAGGAATGCGAAAGAAAAAGAAGATAGATATAGAATGTCAATAGGCTGTGAGGTTAGGAGATAGTGCAATAAGATATAATGGTATAATTTATAATAAGATTTTGGATATTTGATTTTGGATATTTGTGTATGCGTGGATTGAATGCAAGTATGAGAGATTAAGGATTGATTGTAAACCAAGTCCACTTTCTGGCTGTATTGCTAAAGTTAATAAACATATATATATATATATATATATATATATATATATATAAACAATGTCACTCAACTGGACAATAAGTTTTACAAAAATAAGAATATTTGTTAAAATATTATCTAATCTAAAACGTCGCTTAATGTTAATAAATAAAATATAAAAATAATCTAACATGCTCATTTCTAATATTCAAGGGAACCATTTTGTGGATTATATTGTTGCGCCCGTGCCGTGACACCCGTTACCCGTGGGCTGAAATTGGCTGCGCTCTGCGGAAGCTTCAAGCCGGAGCGCGTCCCTTGACAACGGGACGCTGTTATAAATTATTGATTTATTGATTTTCCAAACGACTGTCAGATTTGTTCTCGAACAGCTGGACGACGGACGCGAGTCCGCGCTGTATCTTGATTATAATAAACGCTGAGATTCTCTCTTTGATTAAACGCGGAGTTTCCATTATTTCCGTGAGCGACGGGAGTGAGTGCGCGAGAGTGAGCGAGTGTGTGACAGTGCGACTCGGGGAGCGCAACAATATATATTAAAAATTCGTCAGGAGATTGCTGCTTGTCTGCAAGATATTCAGCAACACCTCTAACACTTTGAACAGTCGGATCCAAAAGTGCTTTGCAAACATAAGTTTCATAAAATAGTTTCTTTAATTTGTTTTACTACGAATGAATCGTATTCATTTACACACATACTACTCTCAACTTCTGCCCTAAAAATATTAAAGAAGTAATTGATACAGCAGCATCTATTAACTCAGCTTTTTAAATTTGGCGGCGCAGGGGTCTACGAAACGCTACGCTATAGTACGCTACTGCTGTTCATGGAGCTCGCATTCGCTAGCGCTATCATGGCTCCATGAACAAAGTTAATAGCGTTAGCGTTGGTAGCGTGGTAGCGAGCTCCCCGAACGCACCCCTAGTCTAAACCTCGCCACCCTTCTCCACCTACTCTCTCCCCACCCCTTCTTCAGATATCCCGGAATGCCCTCTCCTTTTATTACCTTGTACCTTTTATTATATTCCGATTCCTCGATCTTATCCTATCTTTCTTTCCCTTGCTTTTCCTTATCTCCTCCAATTAGCTTTCGATACCATTCTTCTCTACCCTCTCTCAGCTTTTCCAGTTCTTTCAGCCCTACTCCCCTGTCTTCAAAGAAACTTCCTCTTTTCCGCTCCCAGTTTGATCCTTCTCTCCCTTCCTTCTCCCTTCTTTTCAATTCTTCCTAACATAGCTTCGCCAGCTCACTTCCTTTTCCCTCCTCTAACTTTTTCTTGAATCTTCATGCCCTCATCCCCGCCCTCCCTCTTAACTTCTCCCTTTGCAGTTTTTCTCTGACAAGGTACCACGGCGTTCTTCCGTCTACTCCCAAAACCCATCTGATATACCTTTCTTCCAACCTTTCTATTTTCAACCTTTCCCTCCCTCTCTCTCCATCTCCATATTTCCGCCCCATCACCGTCTACACCAGTCTATCAAACAGCCACAATCTTTTTCCCCAGTCTTTTCCAAATCTTCTCTTTCCTATCCCCCATACCTTTCCCATCACCGCCGCCGCCTTCCTAATCCTTTCCTTCACCTGCGGTTCCTGTCCTCCGTTCTTTTGGAACACGTAACCCAGATACCGAAATTCCTTAACTTCCCCTAATTCTTTTCTTTTCCATCTCCATCTTCTTTTACTGTCTCTCCCTCCTTCTTTCTTAAACCTCATTATTTTTGTTTTCTCCACATTCAGCTCCAGTCTTTTCCTACTTAAGTACCCTTCCAATCTTTCTAACATGCTCCTCATTTGATCCTCGTCCTCTGCAATTAGCACTACATCATCAGCATACGCCAACGTGTACACCCTCTTCCCTCCTAACATTATCCCTCTCCATTTAACCCTGCCCATTTCCTCCTCCATATCCGCTAGCAACACATTGAACAATAATGGACTCAATGGGCACCCCTGTCTTACCCCCCTCCCCGTTCAGAATGCCTCTCCTATTTCATTACCTACCCTTACCCAACTTCTCGTCTCCCTCAAAATCTCCTCCGTCCTTCTCACCAGCCCTTCCCTTATTCCCCTTTCCCTCATTGCTTTTACTAGTATCCCCCTGTCTACTGAGTCAAACGCCGCCTTAAGATCTACAAAACATGCTATTACCTTCCCCCTTTTTTCTCCAACCTTCTATTCACCAGGTAATTTATCACATAGATATTATCAATAATTCCCATTCCTCTTCTGAAACCTGTCTGGTTTTGTGGCACTATTCCCTTCCCCTCTAGCTCCTCTCTTAGCCTCTCCGCCAGAATGGCCGTGTACATCTTATACAGCGACGCCATTATTATCACCCCTCTGTACTCCTCCACCCTTTTTCCTTCCCCTTTCTTTACAATTGGTGCGATTAACCCCTTTTTCCAATTCTCCGGTCAACCTCCCCCCTTCCATACCCTGTTGATAAATCTTCATGCCCAATTCTCCAACTCCTTCCCCCCATGTTTCCACGCCTCGCTTGGTATTCCATCTCTTCCCATTGCCTTTCCATCTTTCAGCTTCCTTATTACTCCTCATTTCTTTTAAGCTTATCTCCTCCTCCATTTTTCCTTCCCTTTCCTCCCTCCCTTCATCTATCCCCATCTTTACTCTCCCCTCTACTCCTCCTAACAGCTTCATAAAGTGTTCTTTTTATTCTTCCTCCTCAATCCCTTCCTCTATTCCTCTCCTCTTTCTTCTCTCCCTATTTACTATCTCCCAAATCTCCGATTCTCTCCTTGCTTCACCCGCTTTTCTCTCCCATTTCCGGTTCTCCTCCTCCTTCTTCCTCTTACATAGCTCCTTAATCCCCTTTCCTTTCTCTGTAAGCACTGCCCTCTTCCCTTCCCTTCCTCCATTCCCTCAATTTTCTTCTCGCTTCATTTTTTGCTTCTCTGCAATCTTTATTCCGCCACCCCACCTTCTCCTTTCTCCTTCCCTTCAACTTCTCTTCCACCCCTGTTATCGCCTCTGCTATTCTTGCTTCCATTTCACCCCATTCCTTATCTAACTCTTCTTCTTTTTTCTCTACTTCCCCTATTTTTTCTACGAACACCTTCCTCGTTCAACACTCCCCTGTTTCTTTTCTTCCACCCTCTCCCTCTGTTTTCTCCCTTGTTCCCCTTTCTTACCACCATTTCCAAGGAGTGGTGGTCTGAGTCTACTCTATCCCCCACCGTCATGCTCTCGATCTTCTCTCTTACTTCTCTATCCCCTATTACATAGTTTATCACCGTCTCTCCTCTTCCTCCCGTGAACGTAAATTTCCCCTCCTCGTCTCCCCTCACATTTCCATTGAATATCTCCCATCCTCTCTCCTCTAAGCAATTTACCAGCAACCTCTCCTCTTTGTCCATCTTCTTATCTTTTGAACTTCTTTTTCTATATCTTCTCCCGACCGTCCTCCTCCCTCTTCTTCCTCTATACTCCCACCTTCTTGCCCAGTCCTTGCATTAAAATCTCCCCCTATTATATCGTAAATCTTTCTTTCTCTTTTCTTTCTATTATGTGTCCCATCTCCTGTAAGCTCTCTTCCATCTCCTCTTTCTTTGCATATACCCTTACAATACTCCATCTCTCGTCACCTATCCTAATCTTTCCCTCTATCCAACCCTCCCTATCAATTTTAATCTCCGTCTCCTTCTCTTTCAACCCTTTTCTTATTCCCATTATCATCCCTTCTATTGCTCTCTCTTTTTTATTCTTCCTTTTCACCGTTTGTACTCCCACTCGTACCCCCTTGGCAACCTTCCCCTTATTCTCTCCCAGCCCTTTTCTCCTATCCAGGTCTCTAACATGACTAATACATCCTCTTTCTTCAACCCTTCCCAAAAGTCCTTATCTGTATTTTCCAAACCAGCTACATTCCAGAATACCACCCTCCAAATCTTACTTCCCCCTCCTCTTCTCCTCTGTCTCCCGTATTGCCCCTCTTTAATTCCTCCCCTCTCTCTTCTTCCCTTCTTATTCCCCCGTCTCCATTCCCAGTTTTTCCCCTCCTATCATGCCTTCCTCCTCTTCCTTCTCTCCTCCACTCTCCTTTCTAATCCTTTCCCTTTCATCCTTTAGCACCTCCTTTTCCATATCCCAACTCCACCATACATTTTCCAACCTTATTCTGCCTGCTTTAATCCACGCTCTCCTTCCCTCTCTCTCTCTCTCTTCTCTTCTCGCTATCTCTCTCAGTTTCCAGTTCATCCTTCTTTCCTCCCACGTCAAATCCTCCATGATTCTCTCTTTTCTACCCACCAGGTTCCTCTTTTTTTCCATCACCTCCCATTTTTATTCTTTGTTCTCTAATTTTAACAACACCATTTCTCTTCCTTTTTCCACCTCCTCCCTTATTCTCTTCACCTCTATTGCCTTCACTTTGGTTTTTATTCCCTCCAATAACTTCTCCGCTTCTTGTCTCCTCCCTCCTTCCTTCACTTCTAAACTTCTTATCACTATATTTCTTCTCTCCTTCTCCTTCCTTTCCAGCCTTCTTTCCAACTCTCTTATTCTCTCCCTCACTTTCTCGTTTCCGTTTTTTATCTCTCTCTTTTTCTTCTCCTTTCTCCCTCCTATTTTCTCTTCCAATCTTTTTAACCTTTCCTCTACTTTCTCCTTCTGCTTTTTCATCTCTTCCCTCTCCTCTCTCCATCTCTTCTCCTGCGCCCTGAACTCTTTTCTCAGTTCCTCTATTTCTTCTATCAACTTACATCTCTGCTCCCTGAAGCCCTTCCTAAATTCCTCCCTCATGGACCTGAAGTCCTCTCTCATCTCACCAATTATCTCCCTCAATTCTCTCACACCTATCTCTGCTTCTGTTTTTTGAGATCTCGCTATTATCTTGCTTCTCTTAAAAATATCCTCTTTCTCCTCCACGCTCTTATCTAACTCCTCTCTCTTCCTTTTTCATAGCTCTTTTATCGTTACCGTGCTCCCCGTGCTCCCCGTGCTCCCCCTTCTAACTCTATCTTTCTCCTTTACTCTATCTATCACCTTCTTTTTCTCCATCTCGCTTTCCTTCTTTTCGTTCATCTCCTTCTCTGCGTTTCGCTTCGCCCTCTACCTATTCTCTGTTCTATGTCCTGCCTCGGTCTGCCTACCGCTTCCCTATTCACCCGCCGAGTTACCACTCTACTCACCCTAACTTTCGCGCCCTACCACGCACCGTCCGCCTACCGAGTCGCCCTTCTACACCGTCTCTCATTCTCGCCCTACCCAGCGCTACCGTACGCGTCTCTGCTCACCTAACTCGTCGCCCCTCTACCCCAGCTATTATTCGTGCCGTAACCTTTGTCCAAGCCCTGTCCCCTTTTCTCCCTATACTCTCCTCTCACGCTCCTCCACCACTCTCTCCTTACTCCTCCACACTCACTCACCTTTGCTCCTCCCTTCTCGCACACTTTTGCCTTCCACAAACTCCTATGGCACTTCTTTTTCTTTCCACTCGCACACTCTCACACGCTGTCACCTTGATCGTACCGGAAACGGAAGTCCGAAAACAAAACAATTAATCGGAGAAGTAATTGTATCTATCGCTCTTTCACGTCAATGTAGCGCAATACATCATCAATTCGCATTTGACCTTCCATCCAAAACATACAAGATCTTCAACGAAATAAGTATTTCAGTAACAAACTAATTTGTGAATTGAAAATTACACTTCCGCAATTTCCATTACAGCTGCGACGTATGTGATACTAGTTTTAGCAAAATTGAAATTTTACATTCCGTTTGTATCGTCTCAGACACTCCCCTTTAATAATTAAATGAAAATGGCAAGCGAGATTCAGCGATCCCGTACCATGTGTTTATCTCCTTCCTGCGTAGCAATCTCACCTGTTCGGGTGGTCACGTTGCTGCCAGTTGAAATGCAAAACCATTTCACTCTCAATATCTGTATCTCTGGGCCAGTGTTCTCTAAGAAGTAGATGTACAGAAAATCCGAGCAGGACTGAAAAAGATATCAAAAGTTATCTTCACTGTAAACTCGTAAATTCTCGATACAAAATTATTTGAAAGTTTACAAGAATTTTATGACAGAAAACGCGGATGTCAATGACAACTAATAATTTCACGAGTTTAAGAAACTTTCGCTCGTATATATTATAAACGTTATTTCATCCCAACGAGCATTTCGTATCGAACTTTCGAGCGTGAAGCAAAAACGAAAGCGTCATGCGAGAATTGTGTGATTTACCTTAAAAAGCGTATCAAAAAAGAATAGTGAATGTATCAATGCTATCGCAATTGCAAAAATGTATATAAATCGCTTAACGGTCGGCTACACATGTCTAATTCTTAATGTCTCGCACAGCAAATCTCTTTTGGCAGCATCAGCACGTGCATCAAGAACATTTATACCATTTTCCGCTACATCAATCGCCTCAACATCATTTATTTCAAAATTAAGAGCGTCATCTCTTTCTAAACAAATATTGTGCAATATGCAACAAGCAAGAACGTTTGCAGGAATTTGATCGACTCGCACCATTGCAAGTACAGTCAACAGACTTCGGAATCTTCCTTTCAACATTCCAAATGCTCTTTCAATGGCAGTTCTCGCTAAAGAGTGACAGAAATTATAATTTCGTTGTCGTTCTGTTAAATGACCATTGTCTCGGTATGGTGTCATTAAATTTTCATGCAATTTGTAAGCCAGATTACCGACTAAGTGGCTGTCTTGTGGAAATTTTGTAACATTACCCAAGTAATGTTGCACTTCAGATTGACGGAACACTCGCTGAGCATGTACGGATCCAACATTTCCAACAAAACAATGTATAAACTGGTACTTATGATCACAGATAGCCTAAACAAAAAGAAAAACATCAAATACTTTTACTTCGCCAGTGAGTAGTAAAATTACAAAAATCCTTTGCTGCGACCAAATTGGCTAATATTTATTTAACAAGCACAACGCGTTTCAACCGAGATTCCGGTCCTTCTCAAGTGCGTACAATAAATTAACGCTTGCAAAACACTTCATTATACACAATGTGGCAGCAATGAGTCTACGAACTAAAATACAAAAAAAAGTAAAATAATAAATTAACAAACTAAAATGACGTACGAAGAGTAAACTCAGGAATAAAATAGCAACGCTTACATGTTTTGTGTGTCAAAGGCGATAAAAGATATGCGAGTCATATTAACAAACGTGAAATTCGGTGGTGCGTTCACTATAGGTGACGACAGACGACTGAGTGAGAAACAAAGGCAGAGGTAACCGAAAGCGCTCACATTAAGTTTATTATTTTGTCATAAGTGACAGGAAGGTTATCTCGGTGTCCTTTTGTAAATTAATAGTGTTATTGTTTTTCTTAATAAACACCATTTCGGCTATCTCTCTTTTTTTTAAATGTTTCTCGCAAAAAGAACATTACAAATAAATAATTACAAAATGTAATTAAAAATATAATAAAAAAATTTAAAATAAAATATGAAACATACTTGAAGTTGAATGGAATGGTGACCTTTCCGATTGACATAAGATTCAGGGTACTTTTTTGGAGCTGGTATGTTTATGTGGGTGCCATCTATAGCGCCAATAACTTTCGGAAAACCACTCGTGTTTTCGAATCCTGCCTACACATCGTCTACCCTTTCACCTGTACGCAACTTAATAATAATAGGCGCAAGCTCAATGAGTGCCTTTACAACACGACTTGTAATATATAGTGAGGTGCTTCTACCAACGTTGAAGAGTTCGCATATTGAAATAAACATAAAGAAATAAAGACATAAAAACTGAATTAAAGATTTGATCATAGTTACACTGACATTGATATATACAAGGTAAGGCAAAAACAGTCGAAAATTATATATTTCAATAATCAAAAATAGTTTATAAAATATTTTGACACTTTTTTGTATAAAATACTAAATTTCGTTAAACTTCACTTTTTCAAAGAAAAATCATTGCACAGCATATGTTCGGCGTATCGCCTTGTATATAGTGTAGTCGTTAGTACAGTCACTTTATGTTCATGTAGTCGTATATAATTCATACTTAGTTACATAAGTCATTTGTAATTCTCGCGCGAAACGTCGGCGGATCGCGAGCAGTCAAATCATGCGACTCACCTGTCGGTGCTGCCATCGCCCATCCGCCGACGGCATCCACCCCCTCCCCTCCCCCGGAAAGGGAACAACTACTCGCCCGCAGCGACATGTTCCAGGACCGCGGGGACAGAACACTCTTCGTCAAGCCGCCGTGCGGCACACACATATATTTTGGCCAGCCGTCTTACGGCAAACACATATTTTGGGAGGCGTCTTACAGCACACATTCGCCGGGCAGAACAAACCACGGAATCGCTTTGTCTCCTACTGCTTTCTTTCCTGCCTGCTCCATTGCTTGCTCTCCACCGCTTGCTCGCTTGCACGAGCTTTGCCGTCGCATGCCGAACGAGACGAGACCCACGGAGCGGTCAGAGATCAGAGGACAGGACGAGGCCTGGCGGGATCACGGGGACGACGGCCGACACGGCGAGTCGCTTCTCTTTAATATTTCGCTGCATGCGCTTCTGCCTTCGCGTTAAACATTTGATAGTCGTGAGGGGAAATCAACAACCTCCCTCTGGTCCTTCGAGTAACAATATCGCAAATCTTGCCTCCGGGGCGAAACTATTTCCGTCCATTGGTCCTTCGAGCCGGATTTCGCGTTAGAAAATTACCGCCGACCTTTCGCTCACGTCGCATTATTCATTAACTTGTTAATTTTCGCACATTTTTGTAATCGCGCATTGCGATAACACGTGGCGCGTGGTAGTCTCTCGCGATATCTTTCGTTCGCAACTCTTAATTCGCGACGAAAATACTCGCGTGAATTTCTCGCTGTCGTAACCATGCATTGTTGTTATCTGCCTTTGTCGTGAATACGCTTAATTGTTCGTTCTTATAGTCGCGAGACGCAATAACGCGCGGCGTGTTAATAATCTCTAGTCTCGCGCGATATCTCTCGCTCGCAATTCTTAATTCGCGGCGAGAATACTCGCGTGAACTTTTCGCTCGTCGTAACACGTTCCGTCGCTGTTATTCGCATTAACGCGAATTGCAATAACGCGTGGCGTGTTAATAATCTAATTAATTCGCGACGAGAATAGTCGCGTGAATCCACGATCTCGCGCGATATCTCTCGCTCGCAATTCTCTCGCTCGTTGTACCACGTTCCATCGCCGTTATTTGTACTAATCGTAAATTGCGCAATTGACGCGGTAATTAGTTAAAACCCGTCATTGTTAACATAGAAACCGAAATATTCAGATTTCGAATATTCTCGGGCAGGCCATACGTTTTCGCCGCGCCGTCGGCGGCCTTGGCGCTCGGTCGCGGGCCGGCAGCGTATATACACATTTTTTCTACATAAGCTCGCGTTTCATAATAACGCGCTACATTATTTTCGTTGTTGCTGGGTGTGTTTCGGCCAGACTCGAAATACATATTATTCCGATCGTTGGAATTCTCGCAAACATAATTGCCACCGATCAAATATACTGTTCGTCGGCATTGGTTCCCGGTATAGAATATATTATAGCACTCAAGGTAACCTTATTAAAGATTATAATTACAATTATAATCACAATTGCAAAAGAAGTTGTCGGAATTGATGCTCGTGTCGTGGATTATTGCTCGTGTCGTGTGTATACTGCTCGTGTCGTATACGTTGCTCGTGTCGTAGCTTTGCGCGCAACATGTATTGCTGAAAACTTAATCTGAACAAATACTTGAGTGCATTTCTCGTCGTAACCGAATACCTGTGCCAAACTGCT